TCCGCCATCTTTCTCCCCATCTTTCATGTTCCCTTTGGCTCCCCCATGGTGACCCTTTCTCTTTATCCTGTGGCCCCGCAACCCATCCACTGCCTTCCCTGACAGACCCCCCCAGGTCCCACCCCAGACACACAGGGAGGAATCCAGGGCCGCAGCAGGGGTCAGGTGGTCAGTCAGGGGAGGAGACTGCATCTGCTGGAGAGATGCACAGACAGAGAGAAGGACACACGGACACGGAGGCAAGGACACAGCCAGGCATGCAAGCGCCCCCCACCACTACATGGCTGTGCTTGTACACCCTTAGCCAGGCATTTGTCTGTCACTCATTTTCTCCTGCTCCTCCCCCTCCTCCCAGCCTTCATGTCTATTTCCCCCCCAGATTAGGGCCCCCGCACAAACTCTGCAGCCCCAAGTCGGTCACTGCAGATCACCCTTATCCAGGCCTGGAAGGAGAAAGAGAGGTCATCTCATGTCCATCCCATAGCCTGTATCTATCTCCATTGGGCCAGGGTACCCGGGCAGCGGAGGGGGTCTTCAATGCCACCTAGACACACTAACAGAGCTCTCAGACACACCCAGGCAGGTTGCAGGCTTTTAGACGGAGTGGGGTAGGGCACAGATGGCTGCAGACCCTGCTGCTAGAGGGAGTCGGGAGCACGCACGCACGCACGCATTCACCCTCAAGCAATTGCACTCAAGCGGGCGCACGAGCAACCGCACAAGGTCAAACCGAGATGCTAAGGGTTAGCCCCCTCCCCCCGTAGACAAAGCTACCAACAGGCGCCACAGACCCCCTTCGACTCAGTAACCCGCTCTCTCTGACACACCATCACACGAACTGGTCAGGTCAGCCGGCACGAGAGTCCCCGTAGACTGGGCCCCAGAGTTCAGGAATGCGGGAGCCCCCCAACTCCCGCACAACCCAGTGTCACTGAACCCACAATGTCACACACACTCAGTGCCCTGCCGACCCCTGCACCTACCCCCATCTTGGCGGCTCCGTGGGAAGAGCTGCGGACGGGCTGCTAAGCGGTGGCCGCAGGGCGGGCTCAGGCGCGGGCTCGGGCTGATGGGCCTCGGCAGCGCCCGCGCTGCGGTGGGAGCGTGCGTCTGTCGGTCCGTGGGTCCCACCGCACAGAGGCTGCGGCGGCTGGGGCCTCCGCCTCCTCATATGCCCGCGCCCGCGGGGGGAGGCGGCGCCGGCCAATCAGGAGCGGTTATAAGATGACGGACAGCCCGAGGCCCGGCCCCCGGTACTGCAGCTGTACTTCCCCCTTCCTCCCCACCGCTCCAACCTTGTCTCTGCAAAGTGGCGGCGCCACCAGGGAGCTGAGCACAGTGGGGGGTGGGGATCCCGGACACCCCACGGTGGATGGTAGACCTAGAGACCCCCCTCAATGCAGGGAGGGACCTCAGGGATGGAGGCTCTGAGGGAGGAAGCACCCCGGAAACTGCCTTCTTCTGGGAGTGTTGTGGGCACAGGGTAGGAAGCAAGCCCCAGTGAACTGCAGTAATGCAGGGCCCTAGACCACCACCATCTTACAGTATGTAGAGGGATCCCAGGAGTCTGTGCTGGACACTGTTCAGGAAGAAGATAGTGCAGGAGAGATAATATTGGTGGGGAAAGCTCCCGAATTGAGGAGTATTGCAAAGACAGGAAGGAGTCCTAAGACCCTGCTCACTGTGTCCCAGCCCTGACTGAGCTACCCAATGAGATACCACCACACACATCACACAGGAGACACGACGAAGCCAGAACACAAGAGGAAGCCCTAAGACGCATCTGCACCCCATTAGACACCACCACAGGCTCACAATCATATCCCAGTCACACCTTCACACACAACACCAGTATCTTTCAACCAGAGGCTCAAAAACCGGTAGGAGGGGAATCCACGAAGAGCACACAGCTCTCACACCCACCACAGCGGCACAGAACCACAGCACAGGCGGAAGTGCTAGGGAGAGGGCCCACGCCCTCAGAACACCACCCCACAGACTTGCATCACACACTGCACCACAACTGACCTTGCACCATCTTACACAGAACCAACAGAGTTCTCCCCTTGGCCATTGCACACGTAGGATGCACACTTCCTCCAGATACCACTGATGTATGTGCATGCCATCAAACACACCTAAACACACGGTGCTCCCCAGTGGGTTAGGGCATGACACATGGTACAAACTGGACACATATGTGCTGTGGATGACAGACAAGAATGTACACAGACTCACACGTGACACAGTCATTCAGAACCAAACCATGGGGTACCATCCCACACATCATATTGTCATGTATGACTTTGCTGCACCTCCAACATCCGAACATCCCTACCCACACACCACACCCACACCACAGTGTGTGTAAACAGGCACACACACACACACACACACAAACAACACCCATTAGTTTCCACACTAGAGCCGGAGGAGTCGGAGCCTCCTGTCTCCACCTTGAGAGCACTTTGCTCAGGAGGACATTCCTGACTCTCCCTGGGAATGTTAGTAGAAATTAGGAGCGGGGCCAAGAGACGGGAGTGAGCCTGGCGTGTGGGGTCAGGGTGTGGTGCGTATTAAGATTAAGATGGTCGAGCACACCTTTAATCCCAGCACTGAGGAAGCACGGGCTATCAGTTCTCCATGAATTCAAGGCCATCCAGGTCTAGACAGCAAGCTCCAGGGCAGCCAGGAATGCAAAGGGTGACCTTGCTCACAAAAAAAAAAAAAAAAAAAATTAAGATAATACTGACTTCAAAGGGACATCCGAAAGACTGAAAACCAGAGAGAGGGACACAGACACCGACAGATGGCCTTGGGCAGGAATAGCTAGGACCACAGTAGAAGGAGGAAGGGGGCTCCCCCTAGCACCTAGAGCTTCTTCACAACCCTGTTCTCTGATGGCCTGTTCCCTCTCTCCCACTGTCCTTTGTTGCCATGGTAACAGGAAGGCTGACTCTGCAGCAAAGGAGGTTGGGCCTGCAGATCAGCCTTGTTGCCATGGAGATGAGAAGGAGGAGGAGCCCCATCTTTCAGCTCAGGTGCTTTGCTCTCAGACACCCCTTCCTCAAATCTGTTCCCCTATCCCCGGGATGGAGGGACTGTTACCAACATTTATCCATTTGTCCCTCCCTTTTCTCAATATGGAGGTCTGTGGCTGATCCACAGAGAACAGGGTTAGAGAGGCAGGGAAGGCTGGGGAGGGGGTCTCAGACCCAAGGAAATATGTACTTGTCCTTTCTTCTAGCCAGGCTGGGGGTGCTCCCTCATGTAATCCCTTCTCAGACACTAGCCTGGCTAGACCGATGACTGGCGCATCACGCTCCCAGCGCTCTGCAGAAGTAGTGGGGGAGGGAAGACTTCGGAAGGTCACCGGAATGGAGGACGACAACAGAGCTCACAGGGAGAGGTAAAAGGAGTGAGATCAGAGCTACAGATAGGAGCCATCCCAGAGCCAAAGAGAATTACAGACACAAGACAGAAGAAAAGATCTGCGAAGGCAGAGGAGGAAAAACAAAATAAAGCAAAATAGGAAGACTGTAGCAGACATGTTCACTGAGAGTGATGGACACGGAGAACCTTAGAATGCTGGACAGAGGACAGGTTTGCCAAACATGGAGACTTGGCGATAAAACGGGGAGAAACTTGGTGGGTTCAGAAATAAGGACAGACCCTAGAGAAGAGCAGTCTCGTGCTATTGGGATAGAAAGGGGGAAGCCAGAAAAATCCGCAATGATAGCCACTTCAACCCCAGGGTAGGGTGATCAATCAGTTCCTTAGAGAGAGCTAGAGACTGCAAAGATAGTGGGGATGTTCTGGAATGGCAAACAAAGCAAGAGTCTAAGACACAGAAGCGGCCAAGTGGAGACTGAGGACACAGCGTTAAGTAGCCTGACATGGAGGTGCGGGGTGGGGGTCTCTTGGGGCGTGGCCTTCTGCCAGGGGACCACGGAAGTCTGGGCAGACGCTGGGTTGCTGCGCGCCAGGCGGGCAGCGTAGGTGCTGAATCGGACAGCTCCTGAGTACCAGTGGAGTCTGAAGGGCGGGCCCAGCTTCTGCCCTCACCAGCTCCGGGTTCTTAATACGTTCTCTCCAGAGTTCGGGTCCCCCTCAGTCTTCTTTTAGCTTTCTATGACTTTCTGTCTGTCACCCCAATTCCCTGTGCCCTTTATCTTCCGTTCCATTTGAGTTCCCACTCTTCCACCCCCGCCCGACTCTGTCCCCTTCTGCAATCTCTGTCTCTAACAATCTCTCCCTCTGCCCCCGCCCCCTTCTTCTCGCCTCTTTCTAGCCCTCACCCGTTCTGTCCTCAAGATCTTTCCTCTTCCCTATTTGTCTGCTTCTCCCCCACCCCCGCTGCATCTCTCTCCCTTTCTCGCTCGGCCTCGATCTGGCTCAGGCTGTGTGACCTTCAGTCGTCCTCTCTCCACAGAAACCTCGAGCTGCGAGGAAGGCGAGGACAGAAGGCAAGCCCACACTTCTCCCTGCTCAGCCTGCCCTCAGCCCAATTCCTCCCCGCCTTTGCTTCCCCGCTTGAGGGCTGGGAAGGGACTTAACTTCAAGGATCAATCACTCTTGAAGGTGGCTTCACAGGGTTACACACGCGACCCCCAAGTTCTCAATTCTTTATAGCCCAGTACCATACCGCCACTATAGGTGCCACCCCAGGCTGTAACAGTCCCCAGGTTCTCCCATCCCCCAGCCCCATCTGGTTTCATTCTTTCTGTGTCTTCCCTGCCGGTGTCTCCACCCTTCCAGATCCTGCATCTCTCCATCTGTCTCAGGGTCTCTGTGGAAGCCTCCTTCTGTCCTGAGAGAAGGAAGGTCAATGGAGAGGGGGCCGCTGCCGGGACCTGAGCTGACCTGCATGCTTGCGGTCATTGCCTAAGGTGACGAGTGCGTGAATCTCCTGCTGTTCTTGCGGACTCCCAGGATCTAAAAACGCCCGTTGACCTCCCACCTCCCAGAAAAGAAGCCACACGTACCCCCAGTTTTGGGGTTTTGTTCTTTTTTTATTCCAACAGGGACTGAGATGTGGCAGGGGGAGATATAGGGGCCCAACTGACCCTCTCCCTGGGGGCGTCTCATAGAAATCTGAGGTTTCTCCCCCCAAAAAAGAGAGAAAGAGAAGAGAGGAGGGGCACCAGGAGACACCCACATGTCCAGAGGCCCTCCCCACCTCCAGAAGTGTGGAGAGCCGTGTCAAGTCTTGGGGCGTCTGAGCAGTCCCAGGTTGGGGTCTTCCCCGCGGACAGCTTTCCAACTCCGGGAGCGGCCCCCACAGTCCCCAGCCCTTGGAGTCCTCGGTCTCTGCGCTCCTCCCGCCCTCGGTGCGGGATGGAATGCGGGTGTCTGCGACACCCTCGCTCGAGTCCACTAGGGGGCGCAGGCCGGCTCCGGAGCTGGGCTGGAATTCACCGGGAACTGAAGGCAAAATCGCGGCTTCCTGTCCACCTGGGGCGCGTCGCGTCCCTGAAGTCAGTTGGGGCGTATGCCCGGCCCCGTCCACGGTCATTCGTGCTCGGTCAGCTCGCGGGGTCCAGTGGGGCCTGGCCGCGGTCGGGGCGGGCTGGTGGCTTCGGCTGGGGTGCCCAGGCCACGAGGGGGGGCCCCGGTCCCCGAAGCCCGCAACGCCTGGATGCGCCTGCACTCTTGGCAGACGCGCACGTGCGTGCAGGGCGTGGGAGCCGTGGGCCGGGGCCCCCCGGGAGGCCCCGGGTCGTCCAGGAGGCGCTGCGGACCCCCGTGCGCGCCCGCGTCCCCGCCCGCGCCGGCCGAGTAGAGCTTGCCGTTGCTGAGTCGCATCTCACGGACCGCGCGCAGCGACAGCAGGGCCCGACTCGGGCCGCCCGGGCGCCGGCGCCGGCGGGAACGCGACGTCTTGCGGCAAGACACGGCGTGGCGCAGCTCCTGCAGCATCTCCTGGCACACCGACACCTGGGGGTGGCGGAACGGTCACCGCCGGGCACGACGCGCCCTCCTCCCCTCCCCCATCTCCCTTCTGCACCACTCCTTTCCCTCCCACCCCCTCCTCACCTCCCAATTCTGTTACCTTAGCCAATGCTTGTTTTCTGTACCCTCTCTCCCCATCCCTCTCTCGGCTCCATGTTTCCTTGAGTTTGTCCCTGAACCTGCCTTTCACTTTCTGACCCCTGTCTTTCCGCACAACATTTTCTGACTGCCCCACATTATTGCAAGACATATTTTACTGAGTGCTCAGCATTGATCCGGGCACCCCGAGTAACAGCAAAGAATAATAGAGAATTCCTGGTTCTTGGGATGTAGGTCAGTGGTAGAGGTCTTACCCAACACGTGTAAGGTTCTGGGTTCCATCCCCATCAATGGAGAGGGAGAGAAAAAAAAATAGAGCCCAGTCCTCCTCAAGTATGCACACAGAAAACAACAAATGGGGACATTTGACATTCTGTCACAGGTGCTTGGGGGAGAAAACAGTCATAGTGTGTGTGTGGCTGGGCAGGATGCTGCCGTCTGAGACCGTGCAGAAGAGGAAGTCCTCAGTGAGACTCCGTGTGGAGGCTGCATGAGCCTCACGATAAAAGCCTCGCGGTTGGGTGAGACAGCGCTCTAACAGGAAACCCAGTGCAAAGGTGCTGAGATGGGGCCTGGCTAGGGAGGAATGGGGAGAGAGGGCGGGGGACCAGCTGAGTAAGGCCATCAGACCACCATAAGGCTCGTGGTTTACTCTAGCATCCAACGGGAGGCAAGGGAGAATTGATACAGGAGGCTGAGGGTAGAGACCCTGCTGCAGCAGGCTGGAGCAGAGGGATGAGAGAGGCCTCTCGGTTGTCCTGTGAAGGCAGAGCCCACAGGGTTTGCCGAGAAATAGTGAGGGAGAGGAAGGAGTGAGGATAGATCATGCTTGCACTCGGCACTGGAGACTCTGCCTTGTGGAGACAGAGCAAGGCAAGCTTGGACATTTGGCACTTGCTTCATTAACTAGACATCCAAGTGGGACACTGTTACAGACCGTGGAGCTCATGCCTTGGGGAGCTGAGACAGGAGAGTGACTACTACAAGTTTCGGGCCAGCATAAGCTATGTAGTGAGTTCAAGGCCAGTGAGGGCTACTTAACAAGGCCTTGTTTCCAAATACCAAACCAGGGTTAGTGAGATGACTAGGCCACTGGGGCCGGTGACCTAAGTTCCTTCTCTGGGCCTCACAATGGTGGAGGGAGAGAATGGACTTCTCAAAGTTGACCCCTGACCTTCACACTTGCGTCTAAACTCAAAAATTAATAAACGAAACAGTTAATCTTAGGCTGGGGGAGACACACTTTTGGGAGTCATGGTACCTAGTCTCTATGTCCCACCCCTTGTCAGTCCTGTGGTCCTCTCCTCCAACATTACATCAGGATTGTGCTGAGTGACAGGATGTGACCAGAATCTTCCATTTCTCTCTTGGATCACTGCTCTGGGGGATATGAGCTGCCCAGGCAGGAGGGCACTTAAGCAACTCCACAGAGAGGCCCTCCTTCGAGGAACAAAGGCCTCCTGCCAGCTGCCACTAAGTGTATGCATTATGCTTTTAATTCTTGCTCCGGATGCTTGATGTCCTAGGATCTTACAGGCTGGTGGAAGGCTGGCTTTCTCAGAACTGGCCATGCTTTAGAGAACAAAGGGCCAACCTTCACAACAAACCAAACAGTAGTGGGTGAACCTACAGAGACCTAGGGCTGCAGACCTAAAGCTGATGCAGGGGGACTGCCAGTTTAAGGCCATCCTGGGCTAAGGGCTGAATTCAAGGTTAGACAGGATAACTCAGTGAGACCCTGTCTTAAAATAGAAAGTAAAAATAGGGCTGAGGAGATAGCTCACTGGCAGAGCACTTGCCAAGAAACTACCAATGAAGGGCTTTGTGGTAGAACATTTGCCTGGCACACTCGAGGCCCTGGGTTCTATGCTCAGTACCACAGATACGTTAAAAAAAAAATAAAAAGACAGCCCCCATGTTCCAAGCCCACCAACCCGATACCAACCAGCCAGTCCCTCCTCTGTCCTCTCTGCTGCATACACTCTCTGCCCTGCCTTTTCCAGGAAAACGTAAGGCAGACTGGCCCAGCCACTTCCTCACCCTGGTCCCTCTCCTGGCATGTCTTAGATGGGGGTGATGGGGGTACGCCTGCCTGCCCTGCTACCACCTGAGAGGCTGAGGCGAACTGTGGCAATCCTCCTACCTCAGCTTCTCAAGGGCTGGGATTATGCTTGGTTTGTCTGTCTGTCTGTCTGTCTCTCAAACAGGGTGTCATGTGGCTCAGGCTGGGCTTGAACTCATTATGCAGATGTGGACAGTCCTGTGGCTGACCGTGTGCCCACATCTGCCTCCTGAGTGCACCTCCACACCAGGTGTTTCTTTTGTATTTCAGTATCCTGCTTCTCAGCCTTGGGGATGGATCCTTTGTCCTGTTCTCTGATCTGTCACCTCCTTTATCTAACCAGGAGTTTCTTGGCTCCCCTCTTACTTCTGGCTCCCCGACCCCCTCTCCCCAACAGCTCTCATATCCTCCCTCTACTTCATCTAAGTTCCCACCACTTTGGGCCCTGGAGTCTCCCAGACTCCAGCCCTAACTAGCCACAGTCAATCTCACCTCCTCGGACTCCGCTGACCTCCGCGTGGACCAGATGAATTCCATGACCGCCACGAAGACAGCAATGATGAGGCCACAGATGAGCACAACAAAAATACCTCCAATATTCTCCATGCCCAAACCTGGAGGGTAGGTACAACCAGGGTATGGGCAGTGTGGGCGTGGGCCCGGGCCCAAGGTGCTTCTGGGAAAGAGCAGGCATAGGAAGGGGTTTCTGACCTTTGGCCCTGTGGTCCTCTTCCTTGGGGCACCGGCCGCCCTCCCACCACTTGCGCTTCAGGATCTCCAGCCTGTTGTTCTCTTGGAGCTGCAGGATGGCCAGCGTGATCTCATCCCGGAATGGGGAGCCTGGCCAGGCACATGAGGGGCTCACCATGGGCCCCACTACCCCAAACCCCACCTGCCCTGCCACCTCTCCCAGCTTCTACTCGATCTCGTCACACAACAGCCAAGAGAGAGGTCAGGCCTCTCCAAGCCAATGGCAACTAGGAAGAGGCTCTCTGTCAGGGGGCTGCCATTCCGAGGAGCCCAGCCACACTGGCCGCCCGGCAGGTCCCCATATCTGCCAGACAAAGCTCTACTTTAGGGCCTTGACTTCTGCCCAGAACACCCTTTCTCTCCCCTCCCTCAGGTCTCTGCTTACACAGTGGCTCCTCACGAGTCTTCTATGGGCACTTAATTCAAAATGGCACCAAGTTTTCCACTCCCTGTCAGTCTCTGCCTCTACATCTGTCCACAGCCCTTGTCAGCACCTACTGCTATAGGACGTGGCTCTATAGTATGCTTGTCTAATATATCTGTGGTCTAATATGCCTGCCACCTGGAAGGCCTCGCAGTAGTCGGCTTAGTGCATCCCCATCCTTTTGTATCCGCGCTCTTCCCTCCCCTGTGTTCCCCTCGGGCTCTCTACTCTGAAGCCCCGTCTCAATGCCAGGCAGGAGAGATACGAGCAAGTGGGGATGACGGGTGTTCCTTGGGTACCCAGGGGCCAGATTCTGGGCCGACAGAGTAAGCACCCAAGTCTCACATTTGAGAAAACCTTACCAAAGTCCTGAGACAAACTAGCGCTTGGGTTTCTCGCACTGGGCAGTGAAACAATATGTACGGAACTATAAACTGCTTCTCCCTGCTCCTTCCTGCTTTTTCTGAGTGGTTGCTCTGAGCTAGGACATAGGCGTGGTGTAGAGAATATGAAGCAAAGAAAAGCAAGTCTTAGCTGAGAATGGTGTTAGAGCTGAGCACGGAAGTGGAACACACACACACACACACACACACACACACACGCCACGCACGCACGTACTGGTGTCCCTAGTACGCGGAAGGTGGAGGTAGGAGGGTCAAGAAGTTCAAGGTCATCATCTACAACCTGACCTACTTGAGGGTGAATCCTAGTCTCAAAGAACTGAAAAACAAACAAACCCAAATCCTGTCTCCCACAGAGGTGTTGCACCTTGTAGTTCATGTTTACTGAGGAGTACATGCAAAGTCACCTCAGTTCTCTTACTATCCCCTGAGGTTGGAGCCCACTGGTTTCTAGGCTGACTTTTTGTGTGTTTAAAGTGTAGAAGCTCAGGATGCTGACCACACCTGTCCAGGGTCACAGGGCAAGGCTGCTTGTCTTACGGAGTCGGACGTGGGATATTCCTGAGTTCACGCACACATCTTGGTTAGTCAGCCCCCACATCCCACATTTCCGGTCCAGCCCTGCTCATACCCAGCGGCATGCCGATGCCATAGCCCTTGGTGTCGAGGAGGCCCCCGATCTGGGTGAGGTTGCAATTGAGGCGCCGGTGGTACTCATTCATGGTGGACTCCAGTAGGAAGGCGTAACGGGAGTTGAGGACTCGGGCAATTCCTTCCTCGGTGCTCTTGACAAACACACTAGGCTGTTTTGACTGCATGTAGTTCCACATCCGCTGGTATGTCTGGTACCGTGAGTTCTTGGCAGAGGGAGTATGAAGGAGGATGGGTGAGGGCCACTCTGACTGTTTCCCTCGAGCCCTGTCCCCTCCCTTTCCCACATACACAAGAGTAAATTCATCTCAGCTTGTAGCTCCCCCTCCTTCCTTCTGACAACTCATACCACATGGCCCAACCCTCCCAGCAGCCTCCTTGACCCTGCTCTGCCTGTGCCACCCAGGCCTGGCTCACATTAGATCCCCATCTGCCTCCATGTTTCCATTTACTGGGCAAGAGTCACTCTCCAGCCAGGCAGCAGCTCTCCCCACAAGAGGTCAAGTATGTCGACTGCCCTCGTACCTAGCCTGAGAAGTCCTAGGGGTAACCCACCTGGAAGAAGGTCATGGTGGAGCCGGCGTGGATAGTGCCGTACTCAATGTTGGTCTGATCCGCCAGGTCGTCAGCCGACTCCACAGGCACCTCCATGCGCTGCACCGTGAGGAAGGCGGCCAGGTTGGCCGTGTAGGAGGAGATGATGATCAAAGTGAAGGCCCACCTGAGGGGTGGGAAGCGTGAGCCACAGGCTGGAGTCATCTCTTGCACCTTGACCTGTAACCATGGCCCCCTCCTGAGTGGCTCCTCCTGACCCTTGACCCCAGTGGCTCTAACTTTCAAAAGGCTCAGTGACTGCCAGTTAGGGCAGAGGGCTGGAGTGGGATTCTAGAGCTTGACTCCCGGGGTTAAGTACCGCTTCTAGAAACTTCTGACTTCAGGTATAAGAGAGGAAGATTGTCTGGAAATATGCTCTCAATGTGAGCAGCAAAAATGCTGAACAGAATAGAGGAAATCTTTAGCAGTGCAGAGATTAGAACTAGGGTCTCAAGCATGCTAGGCAAGTGCTCTGCCCCTGAGCCACAGCCCAGTCCACACTGGGGGATTCTAGGCAGGGGCTCTACCACTGAGCCACACCCCAGCCTCTCACTGGGGGATTCTAGGCAGGGGCTCTACCACTGAGCCACACCCCAGCCTCTCACTGGGGGATTCTAGGCAGGGGTTGTATCACCAAGCCACACCCCAGCCCCTCACTGGAGGATTCTAGGTAGGGGCTCTACAACTGAGCCATGCCCCAGGCCCTCACTGGGGATTCTACGCAGGGGTTCTACCACTGAGCTACACCCTAGCCCCTCACTAAGGGATTCTAGGTAGGGGCTCTACCCCTGGAGCCACCACCCCAGCCCCTCACTGGGGGATTCTAGGCAGGGGCTCTACCCCTGAGCCACCACCCCAGCCCCTCACTGGGGGATTTTAGGCAGGCGTGAAGATGAATGGGATTTTGGAGACAGAAAACTCAAAAGGAAAAAGGCACACAAAATAGGGTGGGGGTGTCCCAAAACACAGGGTTTGCTTGAATCTTTTGCTGGATATCAGTGTGAGAGATGAGACCTCACGAGGACAGAAAGACAACGAACAACCCTGCAGTGTTCACACAGGGAGGGAATTCCATCTGTAACTCCAGTTCCAGAGGATCTGACGCTCTCTTCTGCCCTCTCTGGGCATTGTACACACGAGGGACACACACAACAGGCAGGCAAAATTGCCATCCACATAAAATAAACAAAATTTCACACACATACACACAAATAAAATGTGTAGCTTGCCCATCATTTTATTTGTGTGTATGTGTGTGAAATTTTGTTTATTTTATGTGGATGGCAACAAGCTACACAATGTAAACACTAGGCATCCAGAAGCTGCAGTGCAGCGCGGACCTCAGAACAAGCACTGGGGCCAGGATCTGATGGCAGAGGGGACAGTTCAGGAGGACGGAACAGTCCCACATATCAGTGCCCATAATTGCAGATTTTCAAAATTCAAAGTGGAGCTGGCAAGGGACAGCCCAGCGGGTCAAGGCATTTGTCACCAAGCCTGATGAGGTTTTGATCTCCAGGTCCCACATGGTTGTAGGAGAGAATGGACTCCCATAAGCTGTCCTCTGAGCTCCACATGTGCTCTGTGGCACGCGCAGACCCCTAGGTAAATAAGGACAATCTTTCTGTAGATCAGGCTGGCCTCAAACTCACAGAGATCCACCTGCCTCTGCCTGTCGAGTGCTGGGATTAAAGGGATGCACCACCACTGCCCAGCAATAAAGACAAATTTTAAAAAGCTATAAAGTCTCAAAAAAAAGTTATAAAGTAAAAACTGATTACACAGTGGAATGTTTTCCTACTCTCTCTCACTGAGGAGCTAGGGCATGGCTCAGTGGTGGAGCCCCTGTCTAGAATCCCCCAGTGAGGAGCTGGCGGTGTGGCTTAGTGGTGGAGCCCCTGTCTAGAATCCCCCAGTGAGGAGCTGGCGGTGTGGCTTAGTGGTGGAGCCCCTGTCTAGAATCCTCCAGTGAGGGGCTGGAGCGTGGCTCAGCTGTACAGAACCTGCCAGGAATTCATCAATAAAAGGCTGAGAGTTTAGCTAAGTGGCAAAGTATTTTTCCAAATATCTGGGTTTGACCTCAACAAGAGAGAAAGAAAGAGGTGGGAGTGGAAGAGTGAGAGAGAAAGAGAGAAAGCAAACCCACAGAGCAAAATAACCATCTGACAACTGCAGAGCACACAGGGAGACGCCACCACTTCCCTCCCTGTGGTTGATAGGACAACCGCACAGAGAGATCAGTGAGAAGGCAGACGCCGTGGACAACCTCAAACCACTCACGCTCAATGACATTTCTAGAACATTTCACCCACCAACATTGGAATTCATCTCCAGGCAAGCACAGGGAACATTTCCCGAGACACACCATATTGCAGAGCCACGGAACGAGTCTCAATAAATTTAAAAGGATTAAAGACCAACAGAGAATGCTCTCCGGCCACAATGGAAGTGAATTAGAAATCAATAACGGAAAGAGCTGGAAAATCCCCAAGTCCTGGCTCCACTGGGCGTCTAGCTGGGTGACCTTGAGGCTAGGCGTCCTCACCTGGGCTGGTCGCATTACTGCTGGCTCTGCCACACAGGGTTTTGTGAGGACTGGGCTAACCTAAAACACAGACTGTGCTAGGCACGTGCTTACTGTCACTGTCTTAATGACACTGCCTGACTCACGCAGGAAAATAGGTACTCAATGGGGTTGGCTGCAGGACCCTAGGGCAGCCATTTGTTCTACCCTGGCCTCCCCTGGTAACCCTCCTGCTCTGCCAAGTAAGAGTGGCCAGGCCCTCTTGCAAGTCACAGACCCGAGAGAGCCTCCCAGGCCCCGCTGGCATCTTACCAAGCCTTAACAACAACAGGCCACTGGCCTCTGTCTAACACATGTGCAAAACGTCCTGGGTTGGGGGAGAGTGGACAGAAGGGTATATAATACAGCTTCCTGAAAAGCCAAACCTCTGGCCCTGACATGACGCCCAGGGATGGACACAATCTCTCCACACCCACCTCATGGGCCAATTCACTACCAAGAAATGACCCGATGGCTGCCCAGCACACATCAGGTGCCAGGCTGGACCTTGAGACCGCAACATGGTGGACGGGTGGAGGCAGTGGGCACAGGGTGATAAGGACTGGCTGCTCACTGAGCTATTCGGACAAGGTAAATTTGGGGTTAGCTGTTAGCACCCAAGAGAATCAGCACAAGATGGCTGGATCCATGAAGAGGCTCAGACGAGGAGTCTGGAAGTGAGCAGCCCTAGCCCGGTGCATTCAGGCGTGGCCTGCAGCAGAGACATGCATCTAGAGGGTGTTTCGTGTTGGGTCAAGTGTGGGGTATTTTGTTAGTTGTCTTGGTTTCTGCCAGTGGGCGGGCTGACAATGCAAGGCCTGGCCTGAACAACACAGAAAATTGAGGGCACGGCTCCCAAAGCCTGACTCCTCCATGCAGGGAAACATGTATTTCTTACACTGTCATAGTAGGAACTGAAATCTCCAGAGCGCAGCTCTCACTCAGCTTGAGGGCTGGAGGCTGTTGTGTGGAGAACTGCTGAAAAAATACCCACCATTTCTGGAAGTCACATTTAGGACAGCAATTCCACTGGTATTTGAGTCACCAAGACCAGACGCTTGGGCCAGCTGCACCAGGTCCCAGTGATTCATTCCAGCACCAGCGCGTTCCTTTGCCAATGCCGAGCGTCAACAGCATTCCAATCAATGGCCTTACTTCTTGGCATCCCCTGACTCATTATAAATGGATGTCACCTGTTTTGTTTCTGTCCTCTCTCATGTTCGTGCACAAGCATTTGCTTACTGCTCTTATGTTATCCGGTCACAGATTACATCACCTAGCTGGGCATGGTGGTGCGTACCTTTAACCCTAGCACTTGGGAGGCAGAGGCAGGTGGATTTCTGTGAGTTTGCAGCCAGCCTGGTCTACATAATGAGTTCCAGTACAGTCAAGGCTACATGGTGAGACTCTTTCTCAAAAAACTAACAAATAATACATCAAACCACTTTTTTTTTTTCTCATTACAACTAGAGCATTGTACTGAAAGCTTAAAAAAAAAAATCTTGTGTCAGTGCATGTGAATACGGTGCCACTGGAGGCCAGAAGGGGGCGTTGGATCCCCTGGAGCTGCAGTTACAGACAGTCTTGACCATACTAACTTGGGTGCTGGGAACTGAACTTGGGTCCCCTGCAAGAGCAGTACATACTTTCTCAATCACTGAGCCATTTCACCAACCCTAAAAAAATCAAATATCACCTCAGGACGTAAAAGCATTAAAATAATATTAGTTATGAAAAGGGGGTCTGCAAACACTGCTGGTGCCAGTGGATTCACGGCAGGGTGGGGAGAAGGCAGTGGGCAATGTGAAGCTGAAGCTGAGGACTGAAGTGCCAGTGTACGCTAGCAGGGGGCACACATGCTGTCTGAGCTAAGGCAGTGACTGGACATATGGATACAATGGTCACATGTGAAGTGAGGGTTGAGGGGAAGGGGAGAAGCCTTGCTGCTAGCTGGATTAGGCTGAGGGCTTCTTGACAGGAGGGTGTGGAGACGGTAGCTGAGGAGGCAACCCAGAGACCTTTCTGGACACTGGGGTGTGAAGGTAGGCAGGGCTCAGAGAGCAAGGAGAGTGAGGTCAAGGGATTATCCACTTCCCAAAGAGTGACCAAGGGAGAGCCCCCTTGTGGTAAAGGACAGCATTTGGGTATGCTGATTTCTGAGGCCGACCTGTCTTTAGTGCTGAGGTTGCAGGTATGGCTACAGAAGACTGGGCTGAGTGAACACTGCCCAGGAGGCATGTTCTGACCAGGGCCCACGACATCCCCTAGGATGACAGCATGGATGCCCTACAGTCCTCCTGCAGGATGGTGGGAGCCTGGCCTCTAGTCACTGTCACTGAGTCACATGAGGAGATGAACAGTGCTGCTGAATGAGCAGAATGAGAGGACGAGGGGTGTGGAAGAGCACGAGGCCGGGCAAACAGCTGCAGGGAGCGATGAATGGGAGAGGGTAGGGGATGGCTGGTTAGACGGCACGGCCCTCAAGCAGCAGGCCCAGGCTGAGGAGGAAGAAGTTGGGCTCACAGAGTGGAGACCGCTGGCTCCGTGCCTTTAGGACAGTACAGACTCACATCTGCCCCTCAACCCTTGGAAAACATCGACCTTTCAGGGCATGGTAAATGGGACTCTGGAGATGATATTAAGGGCTAAGACGAGGAAGTGATCCTAGACCGTGCAGACAGGCCTGGTGAACACAAGTGTGTGGATGTGGAAGCAAATCAGAAGTGAGTCTAGTGGAAAAGCAGTGTAATTTCAGGTTCTTCAAAGGTTGAGGCAGGAGGGCTGAAAGCTCAAGGCAAGCTGGGGCTACAGAGTGAATTCCAGACAGGCATAAGCAGCTTGGTAAAAACTTGTCTCAAAATACAAGAACAAAAATTTGGCTAGTGCTATGGCTCAGTGGTAGAGCCCCTGCCTAGAATCCCCCAGTGAGGGGCTGGGGTGTAGCTCAGTGGTAGATCCCCTGCCTAGAATCCCCCAGTGAGGGGCTGGGGTGTGGCTCAGTGGTAGAGCCCCTGCCTAGAATCCTCCAGTGAGGGGCTGGGGTGTGGATCAGTGGTAGAGCCCCTGACTAGAATCCCCAGTAAGGACTAGGGGTGTGATTCATTGGGAGAACCCCCTGCCTAGCATCGCCCACGGGGGTAAGCAGCACTCCTGCTCAGCATGCATAAACCCCTAGCTTCAATATCTAGCTTTGCAAAAATAAATAACAAGAGAGAGATTTGATGAAGTTATGCTAATTTTTTTGTTTGTTTGTTTGTTTGATAAACTAGGCTAAAGGTCAGAGAATACAGGAGGATTGTAAAAGCTGGAAAAGATGACTCAGCCTTGTGAGACCTACGGCAAGGACCACATGGTGACCACTGCTGCTTGACAAAGTTCCAGCATTTCAACATTGCAGACCACCATTCTCCAGAACCTTTTAACTTTCATTTTTAATGATTCTCACTATTAGTGCCTTTCCCTTTGGGAAATTTTGTGCAGGGCTTTGGTAAAGGATGAAAATGTGTACAATGGTAGCCTCTCTATTCTTTGGAAAAGAATCCCTACCACTGACTGGGTAACCGGGAATCCCATTGTGCCCTCCTAATTACACCAAGAACAGGAATGTTGGATTTACTACACACACAGGACCCCAAGGATGAAAAGCCTACAATTCAGATCCAGAGCCTGAGGCCATTAAGGGCAAGAGTTCAGCTAATGCTTGTAGGAGTCAGAATGGTACAATATAATGGAAAGAGTGTAAGACATCAGGACTATCTCCTTTGGGAGCAGTAAGAGGGGAACAGGTCCATATAGTTAGACTAAGAGACTGTATTCAATATAGGCTCTGCTCCCCAGAAGAAGTCCTTTTCCCAAAGTCTCCATGCCTTCAGGGGCTTGAGGAAATGTCCTGCTTGCTAACTGTCCTTCTTTTTTTATTTTATTTTATTTTTTTTTTGGTTTTTCGAGACAGCTAACAGTCCTTCTTATCTCTAGCAAGAGGAACTTGCAGCCCTTTCGTTAACCAGACAGGTGCCTATTACTATGGTCAAGGCTAAATTCCTCAACCCCAGATCTCAAAACACTCCCCAGTTTACAGCCCCTTGTCTCCCGCCTAATCCTTTGTGCAACTACAGAGAATAAAAGGAGTATTCTCTTTTCAATTAAATGCTGCTGGCAACCAACCTGATTCACCCCCCACACACACATCCCCAGCGATTCTACACATCCTTTCTGGGACCTGAACCCCAGCCAAAGCGGGTCTCTGACAGATCTGGTTTGGGTTTCTGACCTCCAGAAGCATAAGACAGTACATTTGTGTCATTTTTTAAAATAACTGACTTATTTTTATGTGCACTCGTGTAAGGGTGTCAAATCCCCTGGAAGTTGAGTTACAGACAGTTTTAAGCTGCTATGTGCGTGCTGGGAATTGAACCTGGCTCCTCTGGAAGAACTGCCCATGCTCTTAACCCCTGAGCTGCCTCACCAGCCCCACTTGTGTCGTCTTAAAACACTACATGGGTGGTGATCTTTGTAGCAGACAGGAATGAACAGAGATTCTGTCTGGATTTCTGTTTTTCCAGTGTTGGGTATTAAACTCAGGACCTTGAGCACACCAGGCAAGTGTACACTGAGCTGTATTCCTAGGCCCCATCCCTCCTCTTTTTAAGACAAGGTTTCCTGTAGCTGAGGCTATCCTCAAACTCAGTACAGCCAAGGATGCACTTGAAGGATGCTCCGCCTGTAACTCCCAGTGCAGAGAACACAGGTGTCTACCACCAGGCCCTGTTTATGCACGGACAGGAACTGAAGCCAGATCTTCTCGCAGGCTAAGCAGGCACTTCACCACCAACCGAGCTCTATCCTCCCATGCCTTGGCTGCTTGGTTGTTTACTGTTATTGTGTGTGTGTGTGTGTGTGTGTGTGTGTATGATGTGCACACCAGTGTGTATGTAGAGGGCAGAACTCTGCAGTTGGTTCTCTCCATCTTTCTGTCAGCTCTGAGACTGAACTCAGGCTGACAGGCTCACAGCACAAGCATCTGTGCCCACTGGGCCATCTTTTTGGCCTTCTAGTTAAGTTAGCGAGCTGTAAGTTCAGTGAGAGACCCTGTTTCTAATAATAAAGTGGAGAGCAACAGAGACGATGGTCAGTGTCAGCCTCTGGCCTCCGCACACTCTTGCACACATGTGCACACACAACTGCATGTATGCATATATGCCCACACACATCCACCATACACACCAAAATACAACAAAAAATCCAAACAAACAAAAAGAAACTCATGCCTGCCTCTATACATACACACACTTGTGCATACACACGAATACACACACAAAGTAAGTAAACAAATATTTTTTAAAATGCAAGCCAGGCATGAGCTGTAGCTAGCATGAACTTCTGAGCGCATGTCCCAGGGGAAAGTGAATCTTATCCAGGACACTGGGTCCCTACCCTAAATCTCTGGTACAAGCAGGGCAATGTCACAGGCAGCGATAGCAACGCCCCTCTGGTCACGTCAGCACAGGCGACTCACTGACGCCCGAGCCATGGGCCCTTCCCTTTCCTCACATGCTCAGGATGTACTTGGTCTCCTGTACATGCTAGCCAAGTACTCTACCACTAAGCCATAGCCCTAATCCTTGGTATTTTTGGACACTGTCTTATTAGCAGCCCATGGTGACCTTGAACTTGATATTTAAGGTCAGGCCTCTCTCAAACTCACAATTCTTCTGTTCCAGCCATCGTCAAATGCTTACAAACCTGACAGACCTTTCTGTCTAATTTTTCAGATGAGGGAGCCTGAGGCAAAGAGAGGGGACATCCCCTACCCAAGGCCATAGAGACGGTGGGCAACTGTTGAGGTTGGGCTCTTCATTGCGTAGCATGGGGGGTGCCGGGAACTCGCTGGGGAGAGTAGAGCAGCCCCTCTATCCCTGAATGGAAGCCTCCCAACCCTGACAGTGTAGTACAACGGGGCTCACCAGACTCCGCTGACACAGCGCGTGGACAGCGCCCGGGGCATGATCTCCGAGCCCTGTTGCATGAAGCCACCCACAGGGAACCAGAGGCTGTTGCCCAGCGTGTACTGGTTCTCCAGGATATGGGGACGCGCCCGAAGGCATGGGTGAGGATTGTACCACTCGTAAGGGCTCAGCCTGTGGAGAGATGAGTGGGTGGGTGAGGCGGAGTTGCAGAAAAGAGACCGGAAGAGGCGGGAAAAGAGTGCCGGACACATGCAGAAAAGGGGGAAGGCAGATAGCAGAGATGCTGCTAACATCACGGAACTAGACTTTGCAGTGGAGGCAAGAGGAGAGAAGCAGAGAGAAAATGAAGGAAACAGGCCTGCCAAAGCCCAAGTCAAACCCCTGAGGGGGAAGAGAGAAACAGACAGGGCAAGAAAGACAGAAAGGCAGGTATAGGGCACCCGTGGCAGCGACAGAGGGACAGTGCCGGTGGTCTGTGCGCTGGACTCCGGCCTCTCTCCCCACCCGCTCCCCAGTAGCAGGTGGTCCACTCACCTGGCAGCCAGGAAAAGGACACAGCTGACAGCAAGGTAGGCAAGAAGCATGAAGAGCCACACAGCAGGGGAGAAGGGGTCCAGGAAGGAGAAATAGCCAGGCTTGCGGCCCTAGGGATGGAAAGAACAGTGAGAGCAGCTACCCCTGCCACAAGCGGTGTGCTCAGCCTCTGCATCCTCCAGAAACTCTGAAGTCCGACCAGCCCACCAACCCCAGGTCCACTTAAGCCCATCTCCAGTCACCCTCCCCACCCCCAGCCCTGGAAATGTACCATGTGCACTCTGTAGAGGATGCTGATCCCCAGGGTCATGAAGGGCTTGGAGAAGTCGATGACTTTCTCCCGCTCCGCGGTGATGGTGAAGGCTGCCACAGCCAAGTCTGCCTTCTGCTGGAGGGGAAGCAGATAGGGCAGAGGGAGGGAGGCAGGAGACAGAGGTGGGCAGTTAGGGACACTAGAGGTACCTCCATGAGAGTCAGAGCTGAGATTGGCCGCAGCTCTATCCCAGTCCCCCTGGCCTGCTGGCTCCTAATGCTACTATGGTCAGGTCCATTGCAGCAGCCCTGCTTTGTTTTGTCATGAGAAAGTCCCATTTTGCTCAGGGTCACCTTGAACTCATTATATAGTCAAGGCTAGCATTGATATCCTCTTCCTCCCTAAGCCTCCTGAATGCTAGCATTACAGGCTTCACCTCTTAAATGTTAGCATTCAGGCTGACAGCCTTACTATTACTTGTCTCTCTCTCTCTCTCTCTCTCTCTCTCTCTCTCTCTCTCTCTCTCTCTCTCGACTGGGTACTTATAGCTTTGAAGCCTGTCCGAGAACTCGCTTTGTAGGCCAGGCTGGCTTTGAAATCACAGAGATCTGCCTGCCTCTGCCTCCCAAGTGCATGCGCCACCACTGCTCAGCTAACAGCCTTGTTTTTAAAGCCCACCACTTGCTGCTGTCACCCTGCATCCTCATGAGGAAGCAGGAGATTAGTGTCCAAGCCACCGGGTCTCTGGCTTGTGCTGGGACCTTGGTTTCAATAAATGATGTTTATTAATTGCTTACCAGAATGGACAGAAGTGTTTTGCTTTGTTTTTGGTGTGTGTCAATGTGTGTACACATGTTCGTGTGTGTGGATGGGGATGTTATATGCAAATGTGCTCTCTCTCTCTCTCTCTCTCTCTCTCTCTCTCTTTCTCTTTCTCTCTCTCTCTCTTCGAGACAGGGTTTCTCTGTGTGTCCCTGGCTGTTCTGGAACTTGCTCTGTAGACCAGGCTGGCCTTGAACTCACAGAGATCTGCCTACCTCTGTCTCCCGAGTACTGGAATTAAAGGCATGTGCCACCACCACCTCCTGGCTCCACCTTACTTTCTGAGGCAGGGTCTCTCACTGAATCTGGAGCTCGGTGGTTCAGCTACACAGCCTATTGACCAAGAGCCATGAATCATCCAGTCTCTTTTTCCCAGACACTGCTGCTGTTCCTGGCTTTATAAGTGTGCCGGGGATCTGAACTCAGGTCCTCACACTTGTGTGGAGAGGACTCTACCCACTGGGCCATCTCCTCACTCCCTGGACAGGACTTCCTCCTGATCCTCTGTCTCACCCAAAGCTCTCTGGGGCATGGCTAGTTCCATTTACAGATGGGGGAGTCTCAGAGAGGCATGGGAGCAGCTGGAAGCATGCAGTGGGTATAACCACAAATCTCCTGCTCCAGCAGGCACCGTGATCTACACAGTGTCTGAAGGACACACAGGACTAGGGTCCATCTCAGCCGCAACGATCTTGGGGAAGGCTGCATACTTCTGGTGGGGAGGAGTGCTGTGGGATAGGTCCAAAGGAGTAAAGTGTGGGACAGACAGAAGGGTATAGGCTGGGCTGTCCTGACCTGCAGGGAACCCCTTTCTGCATGAACTCAGTGATCCTACAGGATCGTGTCACTTTGGGGACATCAGCCAGCTGTTAGCTGAGGGCTGACACAAAGCAGGGAAGAGTCTGCATCTCACACGCGGGCATGCTCACACGTACTGCACCTCACACGTGGGCATGTTCACATGCGGGCATGCTCACACATGGACATGCTCACATGTGCTACACCTCACACGCGGGCATGCTCACACGTGCTGCACTTCACACGCGGGCATGCTCACACATACTGCATCTCACACGCGGGCATTTTCACATGCGGGCATGCTCACACATGCTACACCTCACAGGCGGGCATGCTCACAGATCCTGCATCTCACACGCGGGCATGTTCACTCATACTGCACCTCACATGCGGGCATGCTCACATGTACTGCACCTCACACGCGGGCATGCTCACACATACTGCACCTCACATGCGGGCATGCTCACACATACTGCATCTCACACACTGTCTAGTCATTTCTACAGCACAGTGGGCTTCGTGCACTATGACTATGCATGTGCTGAGACGCTGGTCAACAGTGACACACACATGGCTCGTGGAGCCATGACAGACACATGTAACGGGGCACACAGTGACATCTTTCAGTTGAGCAACAGAACAGGTAGAGTGGGTCCGGGGAATGTAGAGCATTGCTTCTGCCCCATTCCCATGACTGTAGGACCTCAAGCAGGGGGTTCATGTGTCTAGATCTTGGTTCACTGTTCTGCAAAGGGGGGTTTGGTCATCAGGACACAGCTCTGCCCCTCCCCACACTTGAATTCCATATCCTGGACTTCAGCCAGGAGATTCCCAAACCAAATTTGGGAAGAGAGCTTGTCCTGGGGGCTGAAGCTGAACACAAGAGGCATAGCAGTCCAGGCAGAAAGAAAGTGGGCCGTAGCAGGGAGGGCGCGTCCCTAGGAAGGCTGGGACTGGAAGATGGGGTTCAGGGCCCTAGAGAGTGTATCAAGAAGGGAGGGCAGAAGCCAGGATTGGAGCCCATGGTGTGATGACCTATGAGCCAGGTCATGACCTCCATAACTGAGAGTGGCCTTAAACCCAAGAGAGAACAGGCACAGGTAATTCAAGGTCAGAGAAAGATGCCACAAGCCCAAAGGACAATCAAAAGACAGGCGGATCTCTGTGAGTTCAAGGCCAGCCTGGTCTACAGAGTGAATTACAGGACAGTTACTGCTACACAGAGAAACCTTGTCTCAAAAACAAAACAAAGAAAAAAAAAGCAAAATTTAAAGTCAGCGACGGAGGGGTGGCTCAGCCCGGAAAGTTCTGCATCTCACACACAGGCATGGTCAGCACGAGGACCGGGTGAAATCCCTGGAACTGTGTGCAAAAGCTGGGCATGATGGGATGGAATTCGTTTGTGACCACAGCATCAGGGAGGTGGAGACAGGTGGATCCCTGGGGCTCAGAGGTCAGGCAGAGCAGTGTAGCCGGTGAGTCCAGGCTGGTGAGAGAGCCTGTCTCAAATGAGGTGGACAGCATTTCTGAAGATGATGCTCAAAACAAGACAGGGTGTGGTGATGGCCAACTTTAATCCTAGCACTCGAGAGGCAGGCAAAGGCAGGGGAATCTCTCAAGACCAGCCTGGTCTATATGATGAGTTTCAGGCTAACCAGGGATACACAGTGAGATCCCATTTTTAAAAATTAAATAACTTAAAAACCCAAACCAGAAACAAACGAACCTAAGGTCATGGAAAGAGCAAATAGGCCCCAGTGGAATCCAGGGCCAGGGAGAGAGAAGGCAGATCAAGGACAACTCACTCTTCATGTCTGCAAGAAACCACCCTGATCTGATGATGACCCAGAGCCAAGAGACACAGCGCAGGTTCAACGAGGACTGCAGGGTGAGTGAGGGGTACAGGAGACAGCTCAGCCTGAGGCATAACCAGAGGAGGTGTGTGGGGTGTGCACAGGGGTTCCTGGGGCTGAGAGTGGGAGCGTTCATCCTTTTTTTCTAAACTGGTCACATGTGTGAATAAGATGAACCGGTGTGGAAACCATCATGACTAACACAGGGATCCTAGTGTGTGTGTGTGTCCCTTCTCCCCCAGAAAGCCTGTAGGGTTCCTCTTTGCTCTCTGCCCATCTCTTGTGGCTCAACAGCCTCTCTGTACACCTGCCTCAGACCCCACACCTGCTGCTTCTTTCTCCTGCTCTGCTCGGGAATCCTCCAAGGTCTGTCCACTCCTCCCCATCTCCTTCACCCAGGTCTATGGTCTACGCTCCCCAGTGCTTTTCCTGGCAGCCACACTTGCCCCCAGCACCCTCCCATCTCTCACAAAGTGCACATTCACTCCCCAGATATAAGCTAAAGGGATGTCTCCTGTTCAAAACACATCACGAGGCTGGAGAGATGAGTCAGTAGTTAAGAGCGTGGGCTGCTCTTCCAGAGGACCAGGGTTCAATTCCCAGCATCTACATGGCTGTTACAACTGTCTGTAACTCTAGGTCCAGGGGATCTGACACCTTCTTCTGACCTCTGTGGACATCAGGCATCCATGTGGTGCACGTATCTACATGCAAGCAAAATACTCACACACGTGAAATAAATAAACCTTAAGAACAAAAAACTGATACACACACACAATGGCTTCCCTATCACTCGGGAAGAGCTAGCCTCCTGTCTTGCTGGCACGCCTACATACACGGTCCTCTACCGAGTTTGCTCTAGCCACTGTGGCCTGCTTTTTGCTCTTGAACTCTGTAGACCCATTCCCTACTGCAGGACCTCCCTGGCTCTTCCTTACCACCAGCAGCTAAAAACCAAAGTCACGATCAAGGAGGAAAAAGACGGTTCTCAGCAACAGCTAACTCCTCAGTGTCAAGGAGTCAGGCTTCCTGGAGCCTACCTCACCTGCCCCGGGGTCCTCCTCTCTCACACTACCACTGCTGATTTTACATTCTCTTAAGTGTCTGTCTAGCAGTGCATTAGGATTCACTCAGGAGGCAGAGGCAGGATGATCTCTGTGAGTGCAAGGTCACCCTGGTCTTCAACAAGCAGTTCCAGACCAAACAAGGCTCTATAGTGAAATCTGTCATTTTTTCAGAAGGGAAATGATCCCAGCCATTCCTCCAAAGCCCCCCAAATAGCGCAGACATCCCTTAACCTCAGTAGCTTAAATTACAAAATGTCTGTTCACTTCTGTGCCTCTATTACTAAACTTCTAAGGGCTGTGTCTTTTGTCTGTGGCAATTGCACAGAGACCAGGTCAGAGCAGAGGGCTGATGTATCTCATCTCCCAGAATCCTTTGCTAAAGCCTGGACCATCACCGCAGTCTCCTGGACCTCCAATGTCCTCCTCTCCTCTGTCCACCCTGGGACCCTAGTCCCACATTTCCCCATGTACAACACTCCCTCCATGGCCACCACTCTGCACTTTCCCCAGAACAGCGTGTTTGGTTCCAGAGTAACTCTGTGCAGAGGGACCTTCAGACCCCCATGTGAGGAGAGTGGCCATTTTCATCTAG